TTTTGTTAAAATCAAACTAAGTTTAATTTTGGACCCTTTGGACCTTAATGTAGACCAATTTGAAAACGGAACCAAAAATTAAGAATCTAAATACATGGTTAGATTCAGCATATCAAAGAACCCCTATATATTCAATTTTTTGTTGAAATCAAACAAAGTTTAATTTTGGACCCCAATTTGGACCAACTTGAAAACTGGGCCCATAATCAAAAATCTAAATACATGTTTAGATTCAGCATATCAAAGAACCCTAAGAATTCAATTTTTGTTAAAATCAAACTAAGTTTAATTTTGGACCCTTTGGACCTTAATGTAGACCAATTTGAAAACGGAACCAAAAATTAAGAATCTAAATACACGGTTAGATTCGGCATATCAAAGAACCCCAATAATTCAATTTTTGATGAAATCAAACAAAGTTTAATTTTGGACCCTTTGGACCTCAATGTGGACCAATTTAAAAACGGGGCCCAAAATCCAAAAACTAAATACACGGTTAGATTCAGCATATTAAAGAACCCCAAGAATTCAAGAATAAAACCCCATTGAAATTGGTCAAGAAATAAGCAATTTATACGAAGTATCTTCTTTTGCACAATACTGTGCAATTAAATATTTCTTGCTATTGCGCAATACTGTACAATTGACAATTTCTTGCTATTGCGCAATATTGTGCTATTGGATATTTCTTGCTATTGCGCAATACTGTGCAATTGAAGATTTCTTGCTATTGCGCAATACTGTGCAATTGAAGATTTCTTGCTATTGCACAATACTTATTATATAATAATTTACACATCCTGTTTGGTGTGTATCTCCTACCATATCATTATTATTTGCTTTTAAATATAAATCAGAAAAAATTCGTAAGGGTTCCGCGGAACCCAGTGTCTCGCCTACTTTTGCTGTTAATCGCAGGCTCAACAAAAATGAGGAAAAAAATTAATAAAAATATTCCTCTCTATACTATCTTTTGATTGTAAGTAGCTTCTGTCCAAGTTTGGTAAAAATCCAGGATAGTTTATGAATCTAATAAATGTTTTAAAAACTTAAACTGCAGACTGTATGTAATGTTAACTGGAAGAAAAACAAAGTCCATTTATAAGTAAAAAATGGAAAAAATGGAACAAAATTTTAACAAATTTTCCTTCTAGATACTAGCTTTTAATCATAAACAAGCCTCTGTCCAAGTTTGGTACAAATCCAGGATAGTTTAAGAAAGTTGTTAAAATTTAAAAAAACTTTAACCACAGAGTGAATGTAATGTAAACTGGCAGAAAAACTAAGTCCATTTATAAGTAAAATACAGATAAACTGGATTTTTTTTACAAATTTTACTTCTGGATACTATCTTATGATCATAAACAAGCTTCTGTCCAAGTTTGGTACAAATCCAGGATAGTTTAAGAAAGTTGTTAAAATTTTAAAAACTTTAACCACAGAGTGAATGTAATGTTAACTGGCAGAAAAACTAAGTCCATTTATAAGTAAAATACGGAAAAAATGGATTTTTTTTTTTACAAAATTTACTTCTGGATACTATCTTATGATCATAAACAAGCTTCTTTCCAGGTTTGGTAGAAATCCAGGATAGTTTAAGAAAGTTATTAAAATTTCAAAAACTTTTAACCACAGAGTGAATGTAATGTTTCCTGGCAGAAAAATAAGTCCATTTATAAGTTAAATACGGAAAAAATGGAATTTTTTTTTTACAAAATTTACTTCTGGATACTATCTTATGATCATAAACAAGCTTCTTTCCAAGTTTGGTAGAAATCCAGGATAGTTTAAGAAAGTTATTAAAATTTCAAAAACTTTAACCACAGAGTGAATGTAATGTTTCCTGGCAGAAAAACTAAGTCCATTTATAAGTTAAATACGGAAAAAATGGAATTTTTTTTTTACAAAATTTACTTCTGGATACTATCTTATGATCATAAACAAGCTTCTGTCCACGTTTGGTAGAAATCCAGGATAGTTTAAGAAAGTTATTAAAATTTCAAAAACTTTAACCACAGAGTGAATATTTGTGGACGCCGCCGACGACGACGACGACGACGACACCGACGCCGACGGAATGTAGGATCGCTATGTCTCGCTTTTTCGACAAAAGTCGAAGGCTCGACAATAACCAACTTAAAATGGAAAATTTTAAAAGAAAAAAAAAGTAAAAAAAGAAAAAAAAGGAAAAAAAAAAATCCCCCCCCAAATTTTTTGAACCCCCTTATGATTCATCACCCCCAAACTCAATCCAAGCCTTCCCTTTGTGGTATGGTACCTTGCAGTACAATTTCAGAGAGATCCATACACTTGAACACAAGTTATTGTCTGGAAACTAGAAAAATGTGTTTTTTGGCCCCTTTTTGGCCCCTAATTCCTAAACGTTTAGGGCAATTACCCCCAAACTCAAACCCAGCTTTCCCTTCGTGATATGGAACCTTGTAGTACAATTTCAGAAAGATCCATACACTTACACAAAAGTTATTGTCCTGAAACTAGAAAAATGCTTGTTTTTTGCCCCTTTTGGGCCCTAATTCCTAAAATATTGAGGCAATTACCCCCATCATCAATCCCAGCCTTCCCTTTGTGGTATGGTACCTTGCAGTACAATTTCAGAGAGATCCATACACTTGAACACAAGTTATTGTCATGAAACTAGAAAAATGCTTATTTTTGGCCCCCAATTCCTAAACGTTTCGGCAATTACCCCCAAACTCAATTCCAGCTTTCCCTTTGTGATATGGAACCTTGTAGTACAATTTCAGAAAGATCCATACACTTACACACAAGTTATTGTCATGAAACTAGAAAAATGCTTGTTTTTTGCCCCTTTTTTGGCCCCTAATTCCTAACATTTTGAGGCAATTACCCCCAAAATCAATCCCAGCATTCCTTTTGTGATATGGAACCTTGTGGTACAATGTCAGAGATATCCATACACTAACACACAAGTTATGTCTGGAAGTTACAGAAGTGCTTATTTTTGGCCCCTAATTCCTTTACTGTTGGTACCATAACCCCCAAAATCAATCCCAACCTTCCTTTTGTGGTATTGAACCTTGTGGTAAAATTTCATAGAGATCCATTCACTTAAACTAAAGTTAGAGTGCGAAAACCAATGTGTCTTCGGACGACGCCGGACGACGCCAGACGACGACGACGACGACGACGACGCCAACGTCATACCAATATACGACCACAAAAATTTTTTTGCGGTCGTATAAAAATTGGATTAACTAAATTATTATCAAAAAGACGAAACTATTTATTACTTAATATTACGTCACCTATTTTGTCTCAAACCTTTAGTATGGTAATTCCTATATTTCAAATGTAATATTTTATTTATTCATTTATTTATCTTAGTTTACTTTATTTTACTTTCATTTCAAGAAGACAATTTTCCATCATTATACTCAGGCAGAAACTGAATGTTAACTGTAAAAAGAACTAAGTCCATTTATCAGTAAAATACGGGAAAATGAAAATAAATATTTCAAAATTTTGCTCTGGATACTGTATTTTTGTCATAAACAAGCTTCTGTCTAAATTTCATAAAATTCCATGAAGGTTTGACAAAGTTATTGATGTCTAAAAAAAACTTTTAACCAAAGACTGAACCTCAATGTTTACGCCACCGACAACGCCATGGCTAAAAAAGAAAAAAGCATGACACAAAACACAACATAAATTGTTCGCACAGAGATATGTCTCACCTGTCCGCATAAAATTCAGAAAAATACAATTTGATAGACAGCAACATTAATTCAAAATCGCTGGACCATGATCTTGTGGGCAAGGCATAGAAAAACTACCTCAAGCAGAAAACTCAACATTGAAAATTGCTTATTAATTCAGAGTCAGTGGACCATGACATAGGGAGCAGGGCCACAAAATAGTCGTTAAACCGATATGTACTGATAGTAATGCAACTTCATAATAAATATCAATTATTTATCACAAGTAGATCCTTTCAAACTAACTTAAGCATAATACTTAACAATTATTGACTCCACCGCCGCCGCCGGAAAAGCGATCCCTATGTCCGCTTTTCCGCGACTTTCGGCACAGGCGAGACAAAAACCAAAAAGATTGAGCAACACGAACCCCACAAAAAACTCAGGGTGATCTCGGGTGCCCCGGAAGGGTAGGCAGATCCTGCTCCACATGTGGCACTCGTCGTGTTGCTCATGTTAGTACAAACCCGGTGATGTCTAGCTTATTCGGTAGGTCATTTTGGGAAAAGGGTACAGGATTGTAGTTACGACAATTGGTACATATCCGTTGTCATCTGTGAAACAGATATTCCATAACGGCCAACCAACTCTTGATGGCGTCTGTAAAATTTACAGAGGGATGATTTCAACTTGGAACTCTTGGTTTAATAGCTTCCTTGTGAGCAGCAACCCTCTATCAAGGAAATCATGATAGAAAATAAAAGCTCTGGAATATCGTATTAACTGGGAAATATAAACTCTGTATGAAGGCGCTGCTGGAATGTTGCTACTTAGAAATGGAAAGTTCACAATTGGGAAGCTGAAATCATCTCTTTTGTCGTAAAGATTTGTTTTCAACCCACCATCATTGTCAATTTCTAGGTGGAAGTCAAGATATGAGGCAGACTTAACTGCATCTGTTATATCCTTTATCTCAAGTTCGATGGGATAGATGCATTCAACATAGTCACCAAATTTTGAATTATTTAGTGAGAAAACATTATCTCTATAATTGTCCAAATGCACAGCTGGTGCAGTGAAATTGGTATTGTTAATGTTATTACATTTTCCTGGCAAATATGGTCTATTAATGAAATGAATTACTGGACATTTTTTGCAATTACAACCTTTGTTCTTTGAAAAGAATAATTGAACAGGACATGCCTCCTGCTGTCCAAATACAAAACAAATGAATTAACTGTGTTGACCATCACACTGGCCAATCTCAAACAAAGTGATTCTACACCAGTCTTCTTTAATCTATTTTTTTTAATAAATTGTGACTAAAATTTGTAAATTTCTTTCATTTAATTGGTATATCAAAATCCATTACAATATTTTAACAACTAGTTTCTGTAAATTATAACAGGCATTGAAAACTTTTTAATCTTATTAAAATCAACAGTACAAAGCAAGTTGATTTTGTTTGATTTTGTTCCAACCATCCACAAATGAAGACAGCACAGTGAGGGTAAAGCTTCAACTTGTTTAATGCTATTCTGATATGAACATATTATTTCTTATGTTTAATTTTGAGACTTACAAGTACAACTTATTTATATAAGCTGATAAGCATTTAGATTGAACATTTCAAATTTAATGGAAATTGTTTGGCTTTCCTGAAAAGCTATAATGTTCAAACTTATCAGGTCAGCAGTTTATGCCATTCAACAAATATTGTAACATTTCAACTTTGAACTTATACTGATTTACCAACAAACAAATAACTCTAATGTTACACTCTGATATCAACAGAAATGTCAAAAAATATTCAACAAAATGTAAACTAACAAATACACTCATCTGCATGCTATGTCAAAATATCTGACAAAAGTTTTTAAACACCAAAAAAAAGTTTCATATTGTGGATTCATTATTATTTGTTGGATACCATGTTTCGTGAATATCCTTGGTAAACGTCTTCCACAAAATTAAGAAATGTTTAAGACCAATAAGAAAAGTCCCAGCACTTTCAAAGGAATTTTATTTTCTGATATCATGCAATATTGAACTCTAAGGTATATTAAAAAAAGAAGTCCATAAAATCAGACAAAATGAAATGTTCTACAATATCAACTAACAGAACAAATGGGAAACAATTGTCATATTCCTGACTTTGAACAGCTCTGACAATGCTGTGTAACAACTGATTTTATAGCTAGCTTAAACTCACATAATGACAGTTGTTTATAGTTTCGTTATATTGACAAAATTGGCTGAAAAAAAATTAATAAACACTTTTGAAAGTCAATATAGTCTAAATAGACAAGGTAATAATATGCTTGATTGCATGCATTGAATTTTTCCTATTAATTAATGTCCTTCCTAAGGTATTTCTCTTTTAAAGAAATAATGAAAATGTTTCGAAAATTTCATATAAAACATGAATATAATATATATTCTAATAGGATAGTGTTTCATGCATATTCAAGACTTACCTTCATAAACTGTTTATCATTATTATCAATTTGCATGTCAATTTTGCTTATTTCATATGTTAAAGCAATACATTCAGTAATAATTATTGCAATTAATTTCATTTGGGATGTTGGAAGGGCCAAAATATGACACACTGAATTTAAACCAATGCTTTTCTGTATTACAATATCCCTTCACAAAATTATCATTAATTATAGTAGAATTGGTTAAAAGTATAAGGTAAATACTATAATTCCTCCATACAAAAACATTTTAATTTGTTTTAAATAAATAAGTAGTATCACATAGTTAACCTTATTCTAAATTAAATATCCCATCATCTATTCATCTAATAAGTAATTAAAACATAGCCAATCAGATGAAATAAATTCAATATATCATTAAAGCATTTGTGGACCTCTAGTTGTCTTTAGGTTTTAATGTTCTCTTAGGTAAATGTCTCTTTTACCCTTCATCTCTCTTTATTCATACCAATGGAAACAAAATAGTTAATTCATATATGACCTAATAATAATTTGCTTTTTTAATGATGAACAGACTGGAGAATTTCTGCATGAGCTTTAAGTATACTCTCTGTCCCCTGAAGGACAGGGTCCCCTTCTGAACCCACAAAATCTTCTAGTTGATTGACATATGACTGTTGGTGGTGCTGACCAGCAGATGAAACAACTATACCACTATCCACCATAGCATCATTATCATCTTGTAGTGTCACTTGAACTGGAACCAATTCTTCCACAGATATACAGGGTCCTACACCAGACACCATGGCTCCATGCACACCCATACCACTCATTGCTGTCACCTGCAGTGGTAGTGCATCACCATCTGTGGCTCCTTCAACAGATGCCACATGTACCGGTAACATAGTTCCTCGCTGTGTTTCTATAATTGTTATTGGCATTGAAGTTACATTTGAAGATAACATTTGTGCTGTTGATGTTGGTAAAAGATGTGTCTGAAATTCTGATTGGCCAGCATGGGGATTCTGTATGTGCACTGTTACATATTGCTGATTTAGCAAATTTTCTGGTGGTATGACCTTGACACAGAAATCCTGTTTATCCACAGAAGACACGTCACCTTCCATTAATCTATCAGGTGGATTCATCTGCTGCTGAAAATCTTGTTCTGGTTTTATACTGAAATCTTCTTCATGTGGTTGAATGATAATTCGACCTCGACTTTGAGTATTCTGCATTTCAGCTGGATCCTGTTCTTGAGCAGCTTCAGTGCTTTGAATTTCCTCTTCCCTACTCTGATCATGACTGACTACAGTTCTATTTCTTCTTTTTCTTGTATTTATTTCTGACGCCTTATTTAAAGAATCTTTAGTGACTGTAATCATACGTTTCTTAGGCCTCCCAACTTTCCTTCTGTTTCTATGTCTATATACATATACACGTGTCTGACCAGGTTTTAATGGTTGACATTTATGATCTTTGAATGTCTTCGGTCTCCAGAATCCCTTACCACAGGACTCACACTTAAATTTGTAATCTGCTGCATGTCCACGTTCATGCTCCCTTAGATGTGGTCTACGACTAAATGTTTTTCCACAGTCTTTACATTCAAAAGGTCTAACACCACTATGTGTGATGATGTGGGCCTTTAACTTGTCAGGTCTATTGAACTCTTTATCACAACCTGAAGATAAATAAGAAATTATCTTTAAAAATTTTGGTGTAAAGACATTCTTCCAACATCAAAAGTTATTGTGATAAATGGTGGCTGGTGGCAAATAAAGGATCATAAAAGATCAGAGTTCCAATGTCCCCCACATTGTACATATTTAATCTATCCAAGGTACAAGGGCAATAACTAAATAAAACACTTTTTTTTGTAGCGCTAACAAGGCCATTTTCAATAAATTTAATATTTCCAAGGGGCATAACTCTTTTTCAAAAAGTTGATCGGCCACCATTATAAAACTTGTCCGAGATATTGCTGATATTAACCTATAGTATAACCTGTGAGAGCGCTAACAAGACCAGACGGATGGACACACAGACAGACACACGGACGGACGCCTGGTATTTCCATGTCCCCTGCAATGCTTTAAGCAGGGGACAATAATCAGAAAAACAGTTTTCGGACATAAATAACTAGACATTGTAATCAATTTTCTGACATACATAACTAGACATTGTAACCAGTTTTCTGACATAAATCACTAAACACTGAAACCAATTTTCCAACATAAATCACTAGACATTGTAACCATTTTTCTAACATAAATCACTAGACATTGTAACCAGTTTTCCAACATAAATCACTAGACATTGTTACAATTAAAGTTAAACATAAAAGATAAAGTTAAAACAACACAATATAAACACAATACTACTTATTTTATAAGTGACAAAGTCCACTAATGGTTGTATTATTACACTTTGCTTTTATTTTTTTTACTGTAACAAATTTAGACTATGCAGTACACTGTCCCAAGATTTGCATGAATGTTGACTGACAATGAGGTATTTTTCAGTTTTCACAACAATTTATGTACTATTTGTTCTTAATTTCAGCAGTGGAATGATAACAGCAGAATGCATTGAGTGTGTAGGTAAAGGTATAATCTTTGGTTAGCTTGCTTGTTTGCTGAACCGTGAAGTCATCTTTAGGTTAGGTATACTACCCTCCTTTCGGAGTAGTCTAGTCCTACAGACCGATAGATTGCAATTGGTTATCTGTCGGACTAGCCTACTCTTAAAGGAGGATAGTTTACCAAACATAATAATGACTTCACGGTTCAGCTAGCAAGCAAGCTAACCAAAGATATTCCCTTTACCTATACACTCTATGCATTCTGCTGTAAAAGAAATACATTATTCATGTGCCTGTCCCCAGTCAGAAACCTGTAGTTCAGTGTTTGTCATATTTTTTTGTAATTTTTCTCGTTTGAATTGTTTAACATTTTTCATGTCAGGTCATTTATAGCAACTATATGGTACAAGTTTTTCTCATTGTTGAAGGCTGTAAACGCCTAAAATTGCTTCATCCACATCAATCAAACTCTGGTAAATAGTTGTCGCATTGACAATCATACCCCATTTCCTTATTTTTATACATACACATAAATAAGACAACTTGAAAAAGGCTGGTTTCAACTAAAAAAAGGAAGACTGATAAGCACAGCTCCACTTTCATGTCTTCTCATCTATTTTCTCGCAATGACTCAAGTTTATCTGGCTGATTGTTTTTGTAATAGTGTACAATGTCAGTTTCATTTGTACAACTTCATAGCTGTAGTGGTGGAGGAAACCTAACCTTTGGAAACTTGCTACAATGCCTATCACATAGATATCGTAACTACAACTATGAGTGAAATTCCCCCAAAAAATCTCCCTTCCCCCAATACTATTTGTATTGAAGTAATTAACTTTGATTATCTTCCCTTTAACATATTGGACAGGGATTATATATTCCTTGATGCTCATCCTCAGAGTGTTCTATAACTGTGTAAAGTTTTAATATCTATATTGTTGTTTAGGTAGGGTTGTGCTCACAAGGCACATGGATAGATACAGTTTGATAGATGGACAGATTGATAGATGGACAAACAGACATTGAGACAGTTAGACCGACAGGACGATTCCTATTTACTCCCAACAAAAATTGGTTTGTGGGTAATATAAAAACTATGTTTTGTAAACAGATTTTACAGATTTTTCCTGAAAAGTATTGGCTATTTTGTACCGATTTTACAGATTTTTCCTGAAAAGTATTGGCTATTTTGTACCTATTTTTTTGTAATCAAGTCAATGATTCAAAAAAGTATCTATTTCTACTACAAACCTGTATAACTTTTGAATGGGCATTTAAACCTTTTAGCAGTGTCATGTATAGTCATGTGACGTTTGAGTTTGTCTTTCCTGTTGAATGAAGCTCCACACTGCTGACAAGAAAATGGTTTCTCTCCACTGTGTATCATCAGATGCATTTTAAGGTAATGTTCTGCTTTAAACCTCTTCTGACAGATATTACACTGGAACTGACCTGAAAAATATTATCAGGCATGTGTTTCCTGTAATCTATTCAAAATTGTGACTCATTAATATGTTAATTAGAGATTTTTTGTATGCATCTTACTTCTTTGTTATGTGCAATTAATGTTGGCTGATATGCCTTCTGTGGGTTTTATGACTAAGAAGAAAGAAATCTGGTACTTGTAAATGGTATTAGTAAATATGAAACTTTTTAAGTGTTTCTATCTTTTATAGTCACCCTTATATATACATTTCAAGTACTTAATCAATTAATGTCAAATCATCAATAAATTGTGGAAGGGTATCTGCTTTGAGAGAAAAAAGAGAGTTAAAAGACTAGAACTATCATAAAGTCTACAGTTACAAGGACTTTATTCCAATAGAAATAAAAATTATCCTGATATATCTTAACAGAGGACACCAGGATTGAACATAAACAAGGATTGAGAGCAAACTGTATTTTCTGTATTTTGAAGGCGCTTTCAGACTTATTTGACCTGCCATGTTCTGTCTATTTTCCAATCTATCAAAGACCATAACTCCTGACCTGAAACAATGAAAATCATCAACATGGAACTCGACCATTATTTTGTCATCAGTAACAGCATAATAAAATTTACAGAGCATTGGTTCAAGGGTTCAAAAGTAATTGCACGGAATCAACATAAAGTGCCATTTTCCAATATATCAAGGACTAGTGTTGGATAATCGTTGAAATTACCAACCAATTATCTATTACTATTGGTTGACAGCAACCAACCGACAATCGCATACATTGCATCATTATACCTTGCCCTTTTTTTTTAAATGAAATCATGCATTTAGTCACATTGTACATGTCTATTCCATATCATTGCAGAGTTTTATATGTTCATATTTGATCTTTTGTTTCCTTTTCATATTTTATTTAGCAATTAAAACAGTGAATCAATTATTAGAATCCAGATTCAGATTGAACATATTTTGTCTTATAATTACAACATTTATAATTATTACCAACAATGACACTAAAATTTCTAAATTTCAATGGTATTACTCACATTATAATTTCAAATACATAGCTGTATAAAACAAACGATCAATCTGTAAAGACAATGCTTTTACCATGTTTATAAAGAAAGAAATTGCTTATGTCTTTGATTATAGCATGTTTGACATTGTTATTGTCTTCGACTGCTATTTTTTCTTACAATTTGTTTGACTGTGCATGTAAAATGCAAACCGGAAACAGACCGGAAGTTGATATGATAAAAGTCCGGAAACTATAACGACAATAGATTGAACAAAATCCCAATCGATTATCAACATTGCCAGGCCCAACCAACTGATTTCCAACTTATTCTGATCATCGAAACAATACAATCAAGGACCATAACTCCTGAAAAGTGAAAATTGTCAATATCAAACTTGACCTCCATTTTGTCATCAGTATCAACTTATTAAGATCTGAAAAGCATTGGTTAAATGGTTCATAAGTTATTGCACGGAAACTGATGGCTTCATAAGTTATTGCACAGAAACTGATGGCAGCCACCCTCCCTCCTGCTGTACTTAACCATTTTAACAACCAGATTTTTCCTTCAGAAAACCTGGTTAATAAAAGAGATGCAACATGAATGCCACTAAGACAAATATTAACCAAAACACTTGTTAACAAAAATGTATTACATAATTTTTTAACCACATCAACTGGCAGTGATTGACTTTTAATTATATGCTTTATTAATTTACCACATTTATTTTTATAATTGATCATACTGACAACCCATATCCTCCTCCTAACTAAATAATTTGGTCTTATAAAGTAAATACTGTTGAATTTTAAATATTTGCATATTGTCAAAATTTGGAAAATAGTAGATGTTGCCTATTTTACTGTTTTGACAAATGGAGTCAATTTATCTTCGCGCAGTCAGAGGTCAGAGCTTTTCATTTCATTATTTTCTAATCCATTAGGCAATATCATTCACAAAAAAAACAGATTCATAGCAAGGATAAAAATCAAGGCTTTTAAAACAGTTAACCTTGAGATTCATGACATGATTTAGGGAGAAAAGATACCAATGGGGCAATCAAAAACTACAAGACTAAGTAAAACAGACAATACAATGACCAAAAGAAAACACAAAAAAGTCCACAAAATGATGAATAGTAGTTTCTACTCCACTTGTGACACCAGTAGAGTTTCTACTGTTATTTTTTGCGAATTTTACATATGAAGTAATGACAGGTTAAACTATTTCTAATGTGAGAAGTAAAAATTCAAAGTCCATAGTTTACCTTCAGATCCATGAGATGGTAAATGACGCCTGAGATATCTCTCACAAGTAAAAACTTTTTCACAATAAGGACAGGGATGAGAGTGTGAGGAAGTAGCCATGTGATGTTCTAATGCCTCAGGTGAAGAATATTTGTTCATGCACTTGGTACACTGGAAATGTCTGCAAAGTAAAACTGTATAGCTAAAACATCTATGCTATTTCAGTAAAATTGCATTAATAGCTTTTATTGCTAAACTTTTTTTAAAATATTTCTTAATACATTCACATTTTTTTTTCCCTAATATCAAACTTGTATACTGACAACAATTTTCCTGTTTTGTTGAGAAATCATTTGTTCACGGGTTCTAATACTGTCATTGAAGATTTCCACATAATATATCAATATATGGATACAGTGCAGGCGATTTGGTGTCACGATATCTCAGTAGCATGAGTTCGAATCCCGGCGAGGGAAGAACAAAAAATTTGTGAAAGCAAATTTACAGATCTAACATTGTTGGGCTGATGTTTAGACGAGTTATATATATATATATATATATATATATATATTGCTTACATCCAGATAGCAAGGATCTCTATGGATGAAAATTTAACAATGGAGGAACTTTTACCATAACAAAACCCCGCATCTATGGTGTGGCGTGAGTATCTCATTCCTCCATTTCTATGTAAGGAATAGTGAACAGACTGATATATTGCTTATTATATTTATTTCATTACAGAATAACCAATATTTTCATTAATTATCATTTGTAACCATTCCAATGTCAAGCCTGCATGGCTCCCCCTTAGTCAAGAATGATCACAATATGTCCTTAAGGTTATCTTGTTATTTTGGTAATTGTTTATAACTAAAAAATCTTGGGGATTTTTTTTCACTGCCAAATTCAGAAGTCATGAACCAGTATCGACGATTTGCAGCATCAACAAGAAGTTTAGAACCCCTTTTGTTAAACGTTGAAGAAAGATTTGGAGGGCAAATGTTTACAACTTAAATGGTTTTAATGACTTTGAATTGCAAATTTCATAGAAATAGACTATGCAACATGCATCTTTCCATTCTGAATGTAAACCAGATGTATTACTTTAATTGTAAAGATTATTTGATCATTTGACGATGACGGAAGATATTTTAACAATGGCGGTGCGCCATAAAAAAACAGGTCATGGAGATCCCTGAGGTAGTTTGAACTCTGGTATATAGTTGTCTCAATAGCAATCAAACTACATCTCTTAGTTTTTATATAGTATACAAAGGCAATCTGTTGGTTATTTGCATTTGCGGTTTTGATTAACAATAGAAATTTGATAGTATAATCAAATCTGTAGTTGATTATTCAACCTTAATCCTTCTGAACTTCTGATATCTGATTCTATAATTATCAAGACATTAAATTACTCAATTCTTACAATGTGATTGTGGACAGACAGAAACCATTCTATAAATTATGTTAACGCTGTCAAATGGGAGTATAAAATTGGATTTTAAAGACTACAAGGATTTCAATTCATTTATGCTAAATGATTAGTACATAAGGTGTATACTTATTTCATACAAACCTAAAATGTTGAGAACTAGGGTTAAATGGGATGTTTAGTGTATTCTAGTATAAACTACGGTATGTTTATAGAAAACCCAGAACAATATTTATTTTGCAGTTAAGATTCGAGTTGTGTGCATCCTTAAGTACACCAACATTATGCAACTCCGGGACCAGTTGTTACATGGTGATTTTGATACAAGCTGTGTGTAAACTCCAGTCTACCAAGTTTATTCAAACCTTGTCCAGTTAATTTGTAATTTCTGTACAATCTGTGTGTACTGGTATACAAGTTAATACATACCTTGGACCAGGTTTTATACTGGAGGATTTTGATACAAGATTTTTTAGTGTACACCAAGTCTATACAAACATTTGAACAGATTTTATTGGGTAATTTAAGTACAAGCTGTATGTATTGGTGTTCAAGTTTACACAAACCTTTGACCAGATTAATCTTAAGGATTTTGATAAAAGCTTTGCGTGCACCCATTTTATACAAACTTTATACAAACCTTGGACCAGGTTTAACTGGATGATTGGGATATAAACTGTGCGTGTACTGGTGTACACCGAGTTCATAAAGTGATGAGAAGAATTTATTACACATGTGACATCTATACTGTAGTTCATTCTCATGTGATTTAACATGCTGTAGAAAGGCATCTAAATCTTTAAAGCTGAGACTGCAATCTTTCTGTACACATTTGTACACCTAAAAGAGAATATAGAACAGATGTAGTATACAATTATCTGGAATAATATACAACATATGGCAGATTCCATATAAGAAATTGAAATGTCTGTCAAAATGAATAAATAAATAAAAATAATAATTACTGTTATTTTAAAGATAATCTGTGGATGTTTTGAGGAATAATGATGTTAGAAGAAATTATAAAAATAATTTTTGGATATGATTGTTTCCGTTTAAAGTAGAAATGATTAAAACAAGTTGAAAAAATGCAAAAATTTTGACAGAATTAACTCCCATTTTTTTACACAATGTTTATGTGTTGCAATGCTTTATGTTGACACTTGTATACTAGTATTTACTAGTGTAGTCTGGTTATTCAAACATCCCTGTTCCCAAATTTGTTACTTTTTTTAGTCAAAAACATCTGTGATATATATTTTTTTTCACTTTCAAATATCTTGCTTTATAGCTCAGTGTCTGTCAATAAATCTTATGTCAGGAACATCACTGTAAAAACTTTCAAAATCATTGTAGGTTCCAATATATGCCAGTTAACCCAAAATTTTTGTTTCAAGTCGGGTAATTGAACTGTGTAAGTTTACCCACAATCATGACAACTGTTGTATCTAACCCATTTTCACACATATATATTCCAGTAGAGTAAGATTTTTAATGCCTAACAAAAAATCAAAAAATTAGAAATTCTTTTTTTATACAGACAATGATAGGAATTTCTATGATTAGATTTTAATTAAATGTTTAACAGCTGCCAAACTTTATGTTGTCACAAGGTTATAATTCACTAACTACCTCTTTAATTGCACCTTAGAAAGGTTGAACCAGTAAGGTAATAATTTTATAGGACAATCAATTCAAAACAATTTGAAGCTCATAATGCATAACTGTCAGAAGAGAGAGATCCCATGTCTATATTAGTAAACCATCTTATTTTATTCAAAAAGTAAAAGACAATAATATCAAAGACACGGTGCTATAATCCAACAATTAAAGACAATATTATCTATTATCAAAGAAGGGATCCCTCAGAAGTAAAAGTGAATAACAAATTCAAATATTATAGATCTTCCAACTAAAATTCAAACTCTACAAGCTAGGGCTTATAAACCTAAAAATCTGAGAGAAAATTTAATAATCATACGTACATGCTATATCAAATTAACAGCATTAGATACTAACTTTAAAGATTTTAAGAATACAAGATATTCAAAGATATTTTTTCTGCAAAATACTTTACAATTCACTAATATAAGGTATTTCCTTTATTTACCTGTTCACTTTTATGTTTAATCATGTGTGTTTTTAACTGGAAGTATGATTTGAACTTCTCATTACAATACTGGCAAATATATGAATTATCTATCACCAAAAGTTTCTTTTTGTCTCCTTCTCCCTGGACCTGAAAAAACAAAATGCAGAAAAATATGTTCTCTTTCTGGACCTGAAAATTTTCACATGCATAAAAAACGTGTTATTAAACTTTCCTTTTTGTTTCCTTGCTTCTGAACCGGATTAGAGAAAAATCATTTTCATTTTTTCTAATAACACAAAAAGTACCAATTCTTTTTCATCAGATTAACATTTAGAAAAAAAAAGTATCTGTTTTATACTAGAGGACATTTATAGTCTAGATTTTATCCTACACGTAAAACAAATGATGAAAGCTGATATAACAGAAATAAACAAACAATAAAATGCTTCGCTGGGCGCAGCTTGATACGACCGCAGAGGTCGAACCCTGAACAGTTGGGGCAAGTATGGACACAACATTCAAGCTTGATACAGCTCTGAATTTGGATTGTGATTAAATATTTGACACAGCATAGGTTTCTGACACAGAAAGAATGTGGTCTAAGAACTTCATTTTTTTTAATTTACCTATTATGGTCCAATGTCCAAAATCAAAATACATGGTTAGATTCAGCATATCAAAGAACCCCATATATTCAATTTTTGTTGAAATCAAACAAAGTTTAATTTTGGACCCCAACTTGGACAAACTTGAAAACTGGTCCCATAATCAAAAATCTAAACACATGTTTAGATTCAGCATATCAAAGTACCCCAAGAAATCAATTTTTGTTAAAATCAAACTAAGTTTAATTTTGGACCCTTTGGACCTTAATGTAGACCAATTAAAAAAAACGGGACCCAAAATAAAAATCTAAAAACACGGTTAGATTTGGCATATCAAAAAACCCCAATAATTCAATTTTTGATGAAATCAAACAAAGTTTAATTTTGGACCCTTTTGACCTCAATATGAACCAATCTGATAGCGGGCCCACAAATAAAAAATCTAAAAACATGGTAAGATTCAGCATATCAAAGAACCCCATATATTCAATTTTTGTTGAAATCAAACAAAGTTTAATTTTGGACCCCAATTTGGATCAACTTGAAAACTAGGCCAAAAATCTAAAATCTAAATACATGTTTAGATTCAGCATATCAAAGAACCCGATATATTCAATTTTTGTTGAAATCAAACAAAGTTTGAATTTGGACCCCAACTTGGACCAACTTGAAAACTGGTCCCATAATAAAAAATCTAAACACATGTTTAGATTCAGCATATCAAAGAACCCCAAAAATTCAATTTTTGTTAAAATCAAACTAAGTTTAATTTTGGACCCTTTGGACCTTAATGTAGACCAATTTAAAAAACGGGACCCAAAATTAAAAATCTAAATACACGGTTAGATTTGGCATATCAAAGAACCCCAATAATTAAATTTTTGATGAAATCAAACAAAGTTTAATTTTGGACCTTTTTGACCTCAATATGAACCAATTTGATAGCGGGCCCACAAATAAAAAATCTAAATACATGGTAAGATTCAGCATATCAAAGAACCCCATATATTCAATTTTTGTTGAAATCAAACAAAGTTTAATTTTGGACCCAATTTGGACCAACTTGAAAACTGGGCCAAACATCTAAAATCTAAATACATGTTTAGATTCAGCATATCAAAGAACCCGATATATTCAATTTTTGTTGAAATCAAACAAAGTTTAATTTTGGACCCCAACTTGGACCAACTTGAAAACTGGGCCCATAATCAAAAATCTAAACACATGTTTAGATTCAGCATATCAAAGTACCCCAAGAAATCAATTTTTGTTAAAATCAAACTAAGTTTAATTTTGGACCCTTTGGACCTTAATGTAGACCAATTTAAAAAACGGGACCCAAAATTAAAAATCTAAATACACGGTTAGATTTGGCATATCAAAGAACCCCAATAATTCAATTTTTGATGAAATAAAACAAAGTTTAATTTTGGACCCTTTTGACCTCAATATGAACCAATTTGATAGCGGGGTCTACAAATAAAAAATCTAAATACATGGTTAGATGCAGCATATCAAAGAACCCCATATATTCAATTTTTGTTGAAATAAAACAAAGTTTAATTTTGGACCCCAATTTGGACCAACTTGAAAACTGAGCCAAAAATCAAAAATCTAAATACATGTTTAGATTCAGCATATCAAAGAACCCCATATATTCAATTTTTGTTAAAATCAAACAAAGTTTAATTTTGGACCCTTTGGACCTTAATGTAGACCAATTTGAAAACTGGACCCAAAATTAAAAATCTAAATACACGGTTAGATTCGGGAAAACAAATAAATAAATGTGGTCAAAGATTTTACAAATCTAATGCGCGATACTGGTCTTCCTTTATAAATATGCATTTCTTTAAACATAATTTAAAAGCAGTGTAAGGGAAGTAACCAAAGCGTTGTATTTGGATTACCTCCCTTACACTGTTTTAAATTATCTTAATTGTTCATTAACCATTACTTTATACATAATTTAAAAGCAGTGTAAGGGAGATAATTTCAATGATGTATTTGATTTATCTCCCTTACACTGCTTTAAATTATGTTTTGTACTAAAGTATTTGTCCATTAATGAGGACAACCTTGTTTTTCCCCCTTTTTTGCCCCTAATTCTTAAACGGTTTGAGCAATAACCCCCCAAACCAAATCCTAACCATCCCTTTGTGGTATGGAAACTTGTAGTATAATTTCAGAGAGATCCATAGTTATTGTCTGGAATCTAGAAAATGCTTATTTTTGACCACTTTTTGGCCCCTAATTCCTTAACTGTTGGTACCATAACCCCCAAAATCAATCCCCACCTTCCTTTTGTGGTATTGAACCTTATGGTAAAATTTCATAGAGATCCATTCACTTAAACTAAAGTTAGAGTGCGAAAACTAATGCGTCTTCGGACGACGACGCCGACGCCAACGTCATACCAATATATGACCACAAAAATTTTTTTGCGGTCGTATAAAAAATAAGAAAGCAAACAGGTTGAAAGAATTACTCTGTGTATATGGGAGATAATCCTTCATTTCACATTAATACTCTCCATTTTGTAACCATTTTGATTAAAATATCCACATTTTCATGCCAACACAAAGGTACTCTTAAAGTAACTAGCCTGGTGATACTCTCATTGAAGTACTGTTACCTAACGAAATTAATGACAGCCTTGTGTGAATTGCCTTAAATTTCATTAAGAGCAGCTGATATTCAGTCATTAAAGGAATATATTAGCATTCTAGATTGAAATAAGCCTGTTAATTGTTTCTGATAAATATTCTAAAAATAAATTCAACATTATTAATGAGAAAGTACATTTGTCCATGTTATATATTTTTTTTATTTGTTTTGAAAGCTAATAACAACTAATAAACAAATCAAATTCTTCGAGACTAAAGTATATATAAACATCCAATGTATCAAGTGTAAAGAAGTCATATATATTCTGAGAAAACCATAACCTTGTGCAATGTCACAATATAAGTACATAACATCAGAAGGATGTAGGACCATAAACTTTAATATTTAATTTCGTATTAATTTATCAAAAACAAAATCGGTTGATTGTGGGGCATATGAAACCTCACAATTAGTTACAAAATGTGGAATCTCTTAAAGTTGTATTATGGGCTACAATAACTGTCCTTTTTAGATCAGGAAGCCTAATTAAATTCAATAATTTTAAGTTTATTTGTTCATTTGTTAATTAATGAATTATAGAAGAATCATCAATCGAATTTTCTTACAGTGAGAAAAAAAATACTTTTTCATACATCAAAACAGCTTTAAGATAATCAGTAAATCTTATAGTTGTTCCTTTTAAATGCTGGCTATTTCCCCCTTATTTCACAACTTGTCATCAATTTTTTTTCTAATTACTTTCTTTACCAATTCTTTGAACCTCTTCAAATTATAACCAGCTATCCACAAATAATAAAAGCTTACAGTGTGATGGTCTTCTTCTGGTTCTACCTCGGAGGTTGGTGGTGGTGGTGTTGGTTCTACTGGAACCTCTATCTGTTGTACCTGAGTTGGTGATTGCTGAGGTAAGGTGGAACCAGCACCTGTTGGCCATACCTAAGGAAGACAAAAAAATTAGAAATAATGAGATAGTTTCATCACTGTGTGCTATTTATCAAGGAATATTCACACAGTCCTGTGTTTCCATTTCAAGTAATTTTAAAAATTCAAACTAAAATATATTAGTAAGCTATGTTCTATTCTTTATACAAATAACAAGGAAAGGCACTTTAACCCATACAAGAGTTGTCCAATGCAAAACATAAGCTGTGTGTTGTAAAGTGTTTTTATACAGTGGAATCTCTTGAAGTCAAAGTAGTAATATTAAAAAAAAATGTTTCTTTGAAAAATATCGACAAGTTATGCAAGGCACCAATAAAAATCCTGTTTTTCTATGTTTTTTTTTATTCTAACCAGTCATTCTCGGCTGATACAAAATCTCTCTATCACTTTACCCTAAAATTCAAAGTATAACAAGATAAAGACAGAAAAAAAAAATTCCAATACTGAAATCATATTTTTCATACTCTACATGTTGAAATCAATCAGAATGGCATAATTGCTATTTGTTATCACCTTTCATGATTGATCATTGGAAAATGGTGAATGTTATCACCTTTCATGATTGATAAAGGGGAATGGTGAATGTTATCACCTTTCATAATTGATAAAGGGGAATGGTGATTGTTGTCACCTTTCATGACTGATCATGGGGAAATGGTGATTGTTGTCACCTTCCATGTTGACCAAGGGGGAAATTGTGTCTATTAAACATATTCTATCATAGAAAAATTATGGAACAAGAACACCTATGAAATTTATTTAAAAAAGACTGGACTTCAATAGACAGTTGGTAGTGGCTAAAGAAAAAGTAGAAGGATAAGTTGAATACAAGCATGTATACTCCCAAAATCTGTTTAGTTCATATGTAGTACATCTTCATAAACATTCTATATGTACTGTTTTGTCCATAAAATTGTCTTTTAGAATTATCAGTGCAGATTGATTTGAATAAAGACAAGTGTTCAACATTAATATAAAAGGTAAATTATCAAAATTTCTAAGGGGTTCCGCTGAACCTTGTGTCTCGCCTGCAATTACTGCTGTCAGTGTAAAAGTGTAATGTTGACTTAAAAAGGGAGTCCATTTATCAGTAAAATACAGAATTTTAAAAAAAAATTCAAACTTTTTCTTTAGATGCTATTTTTTGGTCTTGAAGAATCATGAGAATAGCTTCAGTCCAATTTTCATAATAATCCTTGAAGGTTTATAAATTTATAACGGTCAAAAAAATTTAGTCCCAGACTGTCTTTAAATGTTAACTGTAAAAAACTAAGTCCATCTATCAGAAAAATACTGAAAATGAAAAAAAAATATTTTTTAAAAGTTTGCTTCAGGCATTATCTCTTAATCATTAAAAAGCTTCTGCCTAAGACCCTGTTCACACTAGGACATTTGGATTGATTTAAACTAGATCGGTTCACTTTAGATCAATTTAAGCCCAATGTGAACGCTTTGAATCGATCTTGAATCAGTCTAAACTAAAACAGGTAGTTTAGTTTGAATCGATTTAAATTGAACAGATCTAACTTTAAATGTGAACGCAGAGATCGATCTAAACTAGTACGATTGAATCGAAAATAATTTGTGCTCAGGTATGGCGGCAAAATTACACGTGTAATTGATGACCGACATAAAACAGCTGACAATTAACGAACAACAGTATCAACATTTGAACTTGTAATTCAAGTGAAACAATAACTTCATCCATTATTTTTTTTGCAAGTGTGTGTATCAACACATTAATTTGATTAAATAATTCTATTTATGCACAGTGTTTACACATTCACTGGTAATTAGGTCAGATAGATTGCATTTTACTTGTAGTGTGAACGCAGTCCTTCAGATTAGCCCGATAGAGATCATTAGGATTAAAGATAATGTGAACGCTAACTGGTTTTATTTAGATCGATTAAAAAAATGCTAGTGTGAACAGGGTCTAAGTTTCATAAAATTCTACATGTATGAAGGTTTGGCAAAGTAATTGATGTGTAACAAACTTTAACCCCAGACTGTATCTACTTGTTAACTGTAAACAAAATCTAAGTCCATTTATCAGTAAAATACGGGAATATGAAAATATTTTTTTTTTAATTTTGCTCTGGATACTGTATTTTGGTCATTAAACAAGCTTTTGTCCAAATTTCATAAAATTCCATGAAGGTTTGACAAAGTTATTGGTGACTGATAAACTTTAACATCAGACTGAGCCTGAGTGTTAACTGTAATAAAACTAATTCCATTTATTAGTAATATATGGAAAAATGAAAATAACAAAATTTTCACTCTGGATACTGTCATTTGGTTGTAAACAAGCTTCTGTCCAAATTTCATAAAATTCCATGAATGTTTGACAAAGTTATTGACGACTGAAAAACTTTGACCTCAGATTAAATCTGAATGCTAACTGTAAAAAAAACTAATTCCATTTATTAGTAAAATATGGAAAAATTAATATAAATATTTTCAAAATTTTGTTCTGGATACTGTAAACATAAACAAGCTTCTGCCCAAATTTCCTAAAATTCCATGAAGGTATGACATGATGTCTAAAAAAAATTTAACCACAGACAAGCCTAAATGTTGAAGCCGCAGATGGCTTCTAGGATCGCTATGTATCGCTTTTGCAACAAAAATGTAAAAAAAAATAAATGGGGAATGTGTCCATGGGACACAGATGATGCCCCCCCTTACATATTACATTATAAAGAGACATAACTCAAGAAATGTAAAAGTGACGCCACCAATATTCAAACTTGATCTGTGCTTTGTGGTAATTAACATTGTGTATAAGTTTCATAACATTTGGTTGAGGCAAACTAAAGTAAGAGAACAGAAACGAATATTTTAGCAATTTTTCCATTTGTAAAGGAGCATAACTCTAGAACGATATAAGTGACGCCACCTAAATTCAAACTTGATCTGTTTTTAATGGTAATAAACATTATGTATAAGTTTCATAACATTTAGTTGAGGCAAACTAAAGTTAGAGAATGGAAATGAAAAATTCAGCAATTTTTCCATATGTAAAGGACATAACTCTAAAACGGTAAAAGTGACACCACCAATATTCATATTTAATCAGTGTCTTGTGGTAGTAAGCATTGTGTATAAGTTTCATAACATTTGGTTGAGGCAAACTAAAGTTAGAGAACGGAAACGAAAAATTCAGCAATTTTTCCATTTGTAAAGGGGCATAACTCCAGAACGGTAAAAGTGACGCCACCAAAATTCATACTTGATCTGTGTTTTGTGGTAATAAGCATTGTGTATAAGTTTTAGAACATTTGGTTGAGGCAAACTAAAGTTAGAGAATGGAAACCAATTTTGGGACGTACGTTCGTACGTACAGATGGACAAGGGTAAAACTTAATGCCCCCTCCGCTACGGCGGGGGCATCAAAACAGGTAAGAAGATGTTTCTTACAAACTTGAATAAGATTAAAGGTTAAGTAAGTGTGATCCCCTTAACTTGGACTAATCCAGGTTCGACTGTATAAGAATTCTGAGCAAAGGCCCATTCAAGTACAACTACAGATTTGTATGACATACCTTGTGTGTTGACATGTGTTTTTTTACATTAGATTTCTGAGCAAAGGCACGTCCACACACAATACACTGAAATGGTTTCTCTCCTGTGTGAGCTCTAATGTGTTGTTGTAAATCAAAGTTTTTAGCGAATGCTTTGTCGCAGTACTGACATCGTAACTTTTTCTTATCTTCAGATTCGCCAGGTTTTTTTCTCCTTAAGATGGCTGGATCTTCATGAGAGGATGCATTATTAACCATGCTGGCTTGTGCTGATTTCCTACCTGAAGTGTATCAATGTAAAAATTAGTCATTTTTATGCAACCAAGACATGAAAGGAAAACCCTACTGTGGAAGTGTTGAAAAATTTGATTCATATGCCCTGGAAAGTCACCAATTCTCAAACTAATTTTACATTTCCACAAGTATTTTGCATTTTTTCACCCAATCAATAATTTTAAACTTAAAAAATTAACTCGAGACCATAGGAAATCCAAAATTGGCATTGATTTTTACTGTGTAATGTTAGAAACCACAAATTTAAAAGTCCATAATTCAATTATATGTTTTCAATGTTGAAAAGTTAAGATCTAAAATATAGGTGCCTAACCAAAACCAACAAATCTTGTCCACAGCAATAGTTTACTTTATCTAGGAACCTGATGTCACTGTTTGAACCTTTGTTGTCACTGATGAAATTCCCTTAGCAACTTCAATTGATTGAATTTGTGCTCTTGTCTATTGTATGATAACCTGTAGTTGTTCATATCATTATCTGTAGGTCTTTATGGATAGTTTTCTCATTGGCAATCGTACCATATCACCTTATTTTTATTTTGCTGGGTTGTTTTCTAATTAATATGTCAAACAATTTTAATGTAACCTGGATTAAATTAACTTTTACTATGTCTTTTCAATTTGATCTTTAACAATTCTGAGTTCACTACTGTTCTTACAGAAGTACAGTTGCCTTTGTCTTAATATCTGTACAAACCTGCTTTTGTTGGACTTGGTTTAGTCACAGTTGGTGCTATAGGTTTCTCTGGTAAGGAAGTAAACATGACATTCTGTAGTGGAACCTGATTGGCTGTTACAGTACTTGTAAAGGCAGAGGTAGAAGGTAGTGTGGATGTGGTATTGATGGCATTCAATATTGTAACATTAGAGGTCCGTGTGTTAAAGGGTCCAACTTGTGACAAGAGTGGTCCACTTGCTTGTAGTGCTGCACCTTGTTGCTGTGACAAATAATATTTGATTCATTCTTTGCAATAAATTTAAATGATTTCAACAATTTCAACAAATGGATGAGACTTTATCATGATCATATTACCTTTTTCACACTAATGGTGACCGAAGTGTGACCATTTAGGTACTGTGGATTCATAATTATTCGTTGGATACCCATTTTCGTGGATTATGTGGATAAAGAAAATCATGAATTTAAATGTTCCACAAAGTAAACATTTTTTAATAAATTGAATACAGACTTTGGCATATCATGAAAATACAAGTTTTCCTCAATCTACAAAAATTAGTATCCACTATAGTGGTCATATGAACCCTGCCAGACAGACATGTACACCTTATAATCATTCCATACACCACATATAGTTGACTTATTGCTCATAGTATCTGATAAACTGATAAAATCACAAAATTTATAATTGACCAATAAACCATGAAAATGAGGTCAAGGTCAAATGAACCCTGCCAGACAGACACCTCACAATTATTCCATACACTAAATATAATTGACCTATTGTTTATAATACATGTATCTGCGAAATCACAACAAGAGTGCACACGCTGAAATGTCTCACCTGCTTTACTGACCATTAATTTCCTGTTGATAGTCCTAAATATCAAAATGCTTCGCTGAGCGCAGCCTGATACGACTGCAGAGGTCGAATGCTGAACATTTGGGGCAAATTTGGACACAATATTCAAGCTTGATACTGTCTGAATTTGGATTGTGATCAAATTTTTGACATAATATAGGCTTCTGACACAAAATAAATGTGGTCAAAGATCTTATAAATTCATTGCGTAATACTGTGCAATTGAAGATTTCTTCTTGAAACTTTTCAAAAATTCGAAATTTTAAAAATTTTGAAAAAAAATATGAATCCCTTAAAAAAATTGGGGAAAATATCCCCCCCCAAGGTCAAGGTCAAATAAAATCTGCCAGACTGACATGTACATTTTAAAATATTTCCATACACCAAATATAGTTGACCTGTTGCATATAGTATTAGAAAAAAAGACCAAAACACAAAAACTTAACTTTAACACTGAACCATGAAAATGAGGTTAAGGACAGATGACATCTGACAGTTGGACATGTACATCTTACAATCATTCCATACACAAAATATAGTAGACGGAATGCTTATAGTATCTAATATATGGACTTGACCACGAAAACTTAACCTTGTTCACTGATCCATGAAATGAGGTCGAGGTCAGATGAAAACTATCTGACAGGCATGAGGACCTTGCAAGGTATGCATAAACTAAATATAGTTTATATCATATTACTCACAATAAGAGAAATATTAACATTTCAAAAAATCTTAACTTTTTTTTCAAGTAGTCACTGAACCATGAAAATGAGGTCAAGGACCATGGACATATATAATAGCAGACGGAAACTTCATATTATAAGGCATCTATATACAAAGTATTCCACCTTCTAAAATATAAAGTTATTAAGAAGTTAATTAACGCCGCCGCCACTGGATCACTATCCCTATGTCAACTTTCTGCGACAGAAGATGCAGGCTCGACAAAAACTAATAATTGTCCAATGAACCATGAAAATGAGGTAGAGGACAGATGAAACATGACAGAAAGAACTGTACACCTGACAATATTTCCATACACCAAATATAATGGCCCTATTGCTTATAGTATCTGAGAAATAGACCAAACCACAAAAACTAAACATTGTTCAATGAACCATGAAGTTGAGTTCAGGTCAGATGAAATCTGTCAGTTGGACAACCATTCCATACACCAAGTAAAGTTGACCGATTGCAGTATCTGAGATACGGACTTGACCCTGTAACTTTAACCTTGGTCACTGATCCATGGAATAAGGTTGAGGTCAGGTGAACCCTACCTGACGGACATGTAGACACTGCATGGAACCAATATACCAAATATAGTAATCCTATTACTCATAATAAGTGAATATTTCACTTAACAAAAAAACTGTAATTTTTTTTTCAAGCAGACACTGAACCATGAAAATGAGGTCAAGGACAATGGACATATGACAGGCGGAAACTTCGTAACATAAGGTATCTGCATACAAGGTATGAAGCATCCAGGTCTTCTACCATCTGAAATATAAAGCTTTAAACAAATAGTTTACGCCTTTGCTGCCGGATTGTAATACCTATGTCTCGCATACAGCGACTATCGTCACAGGCGAACCAAAAATACTTTACGGCAAAGAAACTAAACAATGAGCTTGTGAAAGGTTGCATGATCATGATGATATGTAAATAAAGATGTCCACAGTTCAGTGTATTCTACAACATGTATATAATTATCAAGTTTATTTGACAAATAGTAAATATAAATGATGATATCTCATCGATTCAAAATAGCTCAGTATAACTTACAAGTTGTATTGTAGATGCTCCTAGGGTCTGGTCAACACTGGCAAATGACATAAGTTCATCAGTTAACACCATGTTCTGTGTAAGGGGGGATTGGGACACAGTGGCATAAGCAGGCAGTGTAGCAGCTTGTGAGAATGGAGCCTACAATATTATAAAAAAACATCAGTTAACACCATGTTTTGTGTGAGGGGGAGATTAGGACACAGTGGTATAGGCAGGCAGTGTAGCAGTTTGTGAGAAGGTAGCCTACAATATAATAAAAAAAAAGTATCAGTTAACACAATTTTCTGTGTGAGGGGAGATTGGAACACATTTGCATAGGCAGGCATTGTAGCAGCTAGCAAGAATGGAGCATACAACATAATACAAATCATCAAATAACATCAGATTCTGGGTGAGGGGAGATGGTGGCACACTGGAATAGGCAGGAAGTCTGGCAACTTGTAATCATGGATCCTAGAATATAATACAAAACATCAGATAACATCAGGTTCACGCCGAGAGGTGATGGTGGAAAAATGAAAACAGAATTGCAGTCTGGTAGCTTGTAATGATGGAGCCTAGAAAATAATATATAAACGTCAGATAACACCACGTTTTTGTGAATGGACATGGTGGCACAGTGGTATAGGATGGTACATTGTAGTCTGGCAGCTTGTAATGATGCAGTTCATGTTGCGTGAGGTGAGATAGTAGCAATTAAAGGCTTATATATATTCTATGACATGGATTTGATTGCCTCTTGGTCATGTATTCTATGACATGGATTTGATTTTCCCCTCGGTCAAGTGTTCTATGACATGGATTTGATTTTCCCCTTGGTCATGTGTTCTATGACATGGATTTGATTGCCCCATTGTCATGTGTTCTATGACATGGATTTGATTGCCCCCATTGTCATGTGTTCTATGACATGGATTTGATTGCCCCCATTGTCATGTGTTCTATGACAATGGATTTGATTGTCCGCTTGGTCATGTGTTCTATGACATAGATTTGATTGTCCCTTGTTCATGTGTTCTATGACATGGATTTGATTGTCCGCTTGGTCATGTGTTCTATGACATAGATTTGATTGTCCCTTGTTCATGTGTTCTATGACATGGATTTGATTGTCCGCTTGGTCATGTGTTCTATGACATAGATTTGATTGTCCCTTGTTCATGTGTTCTATGACATGGATTTGATTGTTTCCTTGGTCATGTGTCTATGACATGGATTTGGTTGTCCCCTTGGTCATGTGTTCTATGATATGGAATTGATTGTCCTGTGACATGGATTTGATTTGGTCATGTGATCTATAACACACAATGTGTAACTAATTGTGCCAAGTAAGACGAATATGGTAAAAGTCCAATACCAATAACAAAAATGTTAATTTCATGTCCTTGGGAGTCCTGACGCAAGAGTCTGAATTTCCTTAACTGCATATACATTAGTAAAACAATAACTATATTCATGATATTAGGTACATTGTCTCTATTCCCAGCTTCCTTAGAAAAAAACATGTCTAAAGACCCATTCCAGTGCATTATCAGTCTGTGACCCATGTCAAACTGATGATGGATCTTGGATGAAAATAATATAACACTTATTTGAACATTGTGTTGTCCAATCGAAAAAGATTCTAAAAATCTTACTACAAAGTTTTTTTCACCATTAATACTTTCAGTATTAAAGTTCTGTGTAGTATGTTCAGTAGAAATTGAAAGTCTCTCATAAAATTTCAGCAACCTGAAATATGATAAAATCTAGTTAAGATATTTTACTCAAACAGGCAGTCTTACAACCAGCACAAGATGTGGGGCTCTGTTAACAGTCTGTTGTACTGAATTCTGGCTAATACAAACCTGCATGAGTTGTGGAGCTCTATTGACTGCTTGTAGTAATGAGCTGTGGTTAATAACATTCTGGCTTGCACTAAGTTGTCTCTGTAGTACACATCTAGATTGTTTATGATTGATGAAGGCTCCCAGTGTAGTAAACTGTCTTTTACACTTCCCACATTGAAAAACATCCTCTTCTTCTCCTGTAAGCCAAGGTTAAAATATAATTCAAATGACTTCCAATTTGTTTAAATCAAGATATCAAATTACCAAGGGTGATAATAGTCTATTAATGACCTTAAACTTTAAGATGACAAAAAGAATTTTACCTGAATGGCTTATAGTCAAATAAAATTATGATGCAACTTTGCAAGACATGGAACTGGTCAACAAAACAGACCAATATTAAATCTTTAACCAAGAGTTGTTTTCTTGCTCTACTAGTATTATACATCCTTTTCAATATCTATCAGTTTTCTGTACAGGATTTGGTATTTTCTGAGACAAGCACAATGTTTATGTACTAGTGGCCTGAGCAAACTCCAGTCATGGCTTGGCTATAAGCCTTTTAGACTGTAAAGAACTCATAAGACATCTCATTGATCTACAGACCAGACTAAGGTACATTTTCAAAATGATACAACCCCTTTGTGCTTTTTATTAGTGAATAAAGAGTGTGATTTCACAATGAACAAATAATTATTACCAGCATTCATTTATAGTTGCCAGTAAGTGGATTTACTTTCTTTGTAGTTTATACAGTTATTGATGTAGTCTAGGACTCTTGTATCTTATCTGTAGCCTCAACAAGCTCTCATATTAGTGTTTTTCATATAGATTGCATTTTAATGCTCTGATAATGTTGGATTTTAAAAAGATATCAGTGACATACATAGTGGCTGATTCAGGATAGGGTATGGAAGACTTACTCCCCTCTTTAACTTCAACAAAATATTAAAATATGTTTCTCCCAATTTATATGATTTTTTTGCGTACATTGTACATGTAGTAGACCAAATTTTTTCTTAAAAGTATTTTAATTATATTTTCGAGGAAAATCATGCCCTACCCTTTTTTAAAAATCCTGGATCAGCCCCTGATACATGTAAATTGCAGACAGGTTATGGTAATGTTTGGGACTATAGCAGTGTACCTGAAACCAGTTGTTTATTAAAGTGTAGTAACGGGTAAAGTGTCTGTCACTAACTACATACCTGTGGCCTGTATAGGCTCTGGTAAAGTTTGGGACTCTAACAATGACTGCACTGCTACCGCAGTCTGACTGTCCATTCCAACTACAATGTAAAACTTATCTTTGAATTAAAAGGAAAATTTGTGGAAAGAAAATCAGGAAAAAAATTCATCACCCACTTCAACAAAAAGTACTATAATCCCAGAAGTGTTGTAAATTCACCTAATAATATAATGATCATGCTTATAGGCAAACTGGAAATTTATTCAAAAAACAGCGTTTTGATAGCATTTACCTAGGCAGCAATTTTAAGGTGCTAGAGATATTAATATTTTGGGTCTTTAGCTGAATTGCCAACTTTTCAAAATCTCCATGGGGGATTTTAAGTGATGGAACTTATGCTCCTTTTTTATTGTCATAAGTGTTTTTAATCTACTACTATATTGTTTGAATGAGTATGTATGTGCTTAGATACCCTTTAAACTCATTTTATGCTGTTTTGAGGTGTTCAGTTTATAAAATAAAGAATTTCAGAATTCAGGTCAACACCTTTCATAGGATATCCCCCATAGGCAGGTCTGGAATTGTCTCTGAATAACCCTAGACTTGCTCTGAACAACCTATTGACAGTATGCAACAATCAATTTTTAATTATAATATCAAATCTTTTAAATTTTTCATGCAAACTTTTACAGGAACTTGTGTGATTTTAAGTCATAGCAGAAAAAATTGCATACAATCTTAAATATGTCGATCATGATTTAGGCTGAGGATATTTTGATAGTTGCAATATTAGCTAGGATGCCCAAGCAAAATTTAAATTACCTTGCAAGTCTTTAAAATAATTCTTTACAAAGAATAGAATGTAATGATGACATATACAAAAACAAATATGTCAGACTTTCAACGTAATCAATTTAACAGACAAAGTGAAGTTTCTGTAAAAGTCTATCAAAGTCAGTGTTTTTTTATTTGTAAACAATTGCAATTTTTTTATCAAATAAAATATCAAAAAATTGAAATATAATTAAATTTATACCCTATTAGATATGTCATATTGTGTGTATGGTATCTTTCTAATTTCCAAATAATTTCACCCTGAAACAATGTCAACCGAGTAGGACAATGTTTATGAATGACAAGTTTTAGAGTGACAGTTCAGAAACGTGAGATTGTTGTGAGCCGTTCCAACATTTTGATCAACACCCGATTGTGTAAAACTTGGGCGGGTCACCGCTTCGCTTGCTATATGGAACGAATGCAAGACAAATGGATGAAATATCATACAGCGATATAGAACATAATTAAAAGTGCTGTCCAATAGTCAAAATATCTTGCTTATCTGCGTGGGAGGGAGGTAAATAATTTTCAAAACCCAATTTTACAAGAAAGACAAGATGGCGGAACATAACGATGGAAGAGCAGAGCAAGAATCTTGTTCTTCGGATTGTCGTTGAAGTAAACCTATGTTTTAGAATATTGATGACCAGTAGAACTATATCATGATTATACATTCGATCTTAGTACCTGTGAACGTTTCTAGAAATGCATGAGCCATTTTTCATAATGATCTGCAAACTTCAGTATGCAAATTAGGCGGAAACGTATAAACGTTTTAAAGGGGAAGTAATCAATTTTATTAATTCCGCGGGAAATTTAATACGTTTATGTTGTGGTTTTTGTTTATTTTAAAAATACAAAAAACAGAGTAGGATATGTCTTAGGTTGGTTCCCTCCGTAAAATATCCAGTATGCCTTCGGAATATACAAATATTGTCAAGAATTTCAATAACGGTCGGGTACCAGTCTAGATATGTCTTTGCTGCAACAATGGAGACAAGGAAGATGAACTACATTTTCTTTTAAAATGTTCATTCTATAAATATGTGAGAGATAACCTCATTAAAAATGTTCTATTGAACAACAAATTACCTTCTTTATCATATAACTTGCTTATATCAATTATAAATAGTAAGTCCCCAACAGTATTAAAAATTGTTGTGAACTATTTGAATGAATGCTTGTTGGTGAGAAACTCATTATTAAATGGTACTTGATTACTTTTTTTTTTTAATAATTTTTATTTTCAGTATATATTTTTTTCATATTTATCCACTGTCACTCCCTCATTGTACTTATGTTATTGTAGTTTGTCTGTATTTTGTTGCCATAACCATTTAGTGTTAATTTGTCAGTGCTATTAAATAAAGTTACCTTATCTTATCTAGCACTGAATGTTCAATACTCGTTTTTATGGTGAATTCGCCAACTCTTATTTTGTCCAATATTTTACTATCCGTATTAAAATACGACAAAAGAAAGTTTTCTTTAGTATGCTCAGAGACACATGTATATCGTAGGTGAGGGTCTGGATGAGGGTCCTTCATTTCTGTATTCCTTAATTTTTTAGGCCATTTTTCTCTATTCTTTAATTTTTTTGCCCATTATTCTCTATTCTTTGTGTTTTAGAACCTCATTATTCTCTATTTATTTTTTTTGATCCATTTTTCTCTATTCTGTAAACCCCCATCCACACCCTCATAGGTACTTGGGGATAAGTCACAGTACCCAAATTGCACATATTTAGCAAAAATAGCAGCGGAAATCTTACAAGTTTTCTTAGAATAGAGAATAAACAATTTGTGTTTTAATGAATTGACATTATGCACGTCTTCCAGCATAAGTAAATATATTTAAATGTACACAAAACGTCCACAGTATATCAACAGATGAAGTATTCACTGGAAAAAGTAAAATCTACGAAAACGTTGCCATGCGACGTCCACAAAAAGTCGTCTTTTAAAAATGAGCAAATAAAATATATGTAACAAGTATCCATTTAAAAAAAAAAGAATAGTAAGCATATCTGAATAATATCAAATTGTCAGTCTAGATATTTGAAAAATAAAACAAAACATCTGTTATTTGATTTTTAATGATGTGAATTTAAGCATGGATGCAATTTGGGTTCTCCTCATTACAGAATCAGGGATCGTTTGGAGGTCGGCTCAAACCGAGTTAAAGTAGTATCAGGCTCAAACCCATTTTTCTATTATTTAATATGAATTCAAAATTGAAATTGGTGGAATTATATCATACACAAGAATCAGGGACAGCTCAGCGGGGATAACGTTATCAGTGACCAACAAGGGAGCACTTTTGGACTGATAAAATTTAACATTGTTGTTTACGGAAAAAACATGACAGTTGCTTTAAAATGATTTGTCAACATTTTATTTGTACAATCATAAACTATTGCCATGGCAGGTGAAAAGGTTATTAGATTTATCTTTATTTTGATGTAAAAAAAAATATTTTATGTTATTTTAAAGTGGTGTCCCTTATGATTTGAAAAGTGCCCATGAAAAGATACGTTTTTCCTACATAACTTAACCAAATTCAATGATGACGAGTGGTAGTAAAAAATTCCTATAAAATTCATTATTGCAGTGACATTATTTCGCCATGTCCCATGTTATTTTTGTATAATTCTTCTTTCTGAAGATGCAAAAAAAAATATTTTAAGTTTACATTTGATGGTGTCCCTGGTAGTTTGAATATGGTGATTATTTCGTTATCAAACGTCAGTTCATGCATAGATGTATATATATGGGTTTATACATCTATGGTTCATGTATACGTATATTGTAAAGAACTATGGTGTACCATTTGGTTCAAAAGGTATTTTTATCGGTTAATCGCTATTTATATGTCGGTTAACCGCTATTTTTATCGATTAACCGCTATATATATGTCGGTTAACCGCTTTTTTATCGGTTAATCGCTATTTATATATCGGTTAACCGATATTTTTATCGGTTAATCGCTATTAATATATCGGTTAACCGCTATTTTATCGGTTAACCGCTATTTCTTATTATTAATCACTTCTAATTTATCGTCTATGCACAAATCAACTAGTTATTAGAAATAAGTAAGTGATTGATAGATGAAGTTTATCGCTTAACCTGTTAAAACAATCATTTGAATTGCTTACTCCTCCCATGTTGGTCAAATATTCCCACCCAACTTATAGAATTGTTTGACGAACGCCCACATGTTTCGAGTGTTGAGAACGTGGCAATATTATAGCACATAACAAGTTATATTGCACGTCACCAATCTTTATTTTATTTATGACAAAACGTATTGCTTTGCATGAATTAAACACCAAAAATATGGATTCATTTACCTCTCAGATTCCCCTCTTCTCCTGCCCTCATCTCCTTTTTTATACTTAAGCCGACATAACCACGCGGTAGACGCTTTCCTGGTGGTAGAATTTTCAATTTCCCCCCTCTTTATTCCTAAATATCATAATTTCTAGATAGATTTGTGAATTATTGTTTATTTTGTACATTCTTTTTATAAAACATTGGAAACAATATTATGTACTGGTTGTTTTTGGATTTTTAATAAAATTGAGAATGGAAATGGGGAATATGTCAAAGAGACAACAACCCGACCAAAGAGCAGACAACAGCCGAAGGCCACCAATGGGTCTTCAACGCAGCGAGAAAATCCCGTACCCGGAGGTGGTCCTCAGCTAGCCCCTAAATAAAATTGTGTACTAGTTCAGTGAAGATGGACGTCACACTAAACTCCATAACATATAAATGAACTAAAATTAAAAAACATACAAGACTAACAAAGGCCAGAGGCTCCTGACTTTGGACAGGCGCAAAAACGCGGCGGGGTTAAACATGTTTTGTGAGCATAATCTCAACCCTCCCCCTATACCTCTAGCCAATGTAGAATAAAGAAACACATAGCAATACGCACAGTAACACTCAGTTTAAAAGAAGTCCGAGTCCGATGTCAGAATAGGTAACAAAAGAAAACTAAGCAAAATGACAATGATACATAAATGAACAAAGGACTACCAGCAGTTACTGACATGCCAGCTCCAGACCTTTAACGCTTCCACAAGAGACCAAATGACACAGAAATTAACAACTATAGGTCACCCTACGGCCTTCAACAATGAGCAAAGCCCATACCGCATAGTCAGCTATAAAAGGCCTCGAAATGACAAATGTAAAACAATTCAAACGAGAAAACTAACGGCCTAATTTATGTGCAAAATAATGAACGAAGAAAAATATGTACCACTGCAACAAACGACAACCACTAAATTTCAGGCTCCTGACTTGGGACAGGCAGATACATAATATGGTGGGGTTAAACTAGAATACATTTGCAGAATATTTCTGAATAGCTATTTTCTTGAATTTATATCACTTGAATTTTTAAGAAGCGGTTTTTTGATTAGGTAAAACACATTTTACTATCACATGAACCCAGAATCCTTCATGTGATGATATAAAACTAAAAACCATATACTGTGACCTCTAAGAGTCTAGTAGTTATTCGTGTCGTTGGCGATTGCTGTCTAAATGACGTATACCACTGTCTCTAATTATTCATACAGAAAAGTATAAGAAGAATGTTCACAGAATTATGAGAATAAAATGTTTCTTTGGAAATGGTTAAGATATATTATAAACCAAAACACCATTGGATGGTAATAAAATAGATGCATGGAATTTCCCACGGGAGTTTACAATACATTTGAAGGCACAAGTAACACGATACCGAATGGCGTATCTCCCGATTTCTAAATTATTTTGCACACTTGTACTTTGATCCGAGTTACATCGGAATATGAAATAAAAAATGGGGGTCACCATTTTTGTTTTCTTGTAATTTTCATAGGAAAACGTCAATTTTGGGGACATAAGACAATGTTCACTTTAGGCCCAATATGGCCCTGAATTTCAACTTTATCGTAAAATTTCAAAATCACCAGAATTTGGTTCTTAAATGGATCTTTTTCAAAAGATTTACTTCCTTGGTAAAAGAATTCTCTTCAAAAGAATGTAATTTTTGCTTCAAAATCAGCACATTTTTTTATATTTTGTCAAAATAGTTTTTTACGATGATTTTGTGAATTTTCCTGACCTATAAGCTTGAGAAAACCCTTGGCTGCAACCTAGGATTCAAAATGTTCTGTAACCAAGAGTTGCCAATGATGATATTGAATCCCTAGACACAAAACTTTCTGGATCTTGGATGGCGGCCAAAGTAAATTATGCTAAAACATGTTAAGAATTATTGAAAATTTGACCAAAACTGACGTTGCAACACATATAATGCATTATACTTAAAGAGTCAATACTTCGTCATATTTAATATGATGTGCCAAAATGAAGTTTTTTTTGTATTAATAGTAATATCATAACTATTTCTATGTGATATTTGTAGTATTATGGCCTGATTAAAAAAAAACATCAAAATCTTAGGGCCAATTTTAACCCTTCGTGAACTTACCATGCTTACATGGATATATAGGGAAAATGTCTTTTTTCGACTTATCTATTTAGATTTTTCAATGTATGGCTATTTTCTTATATACGGATAAAGACTAAAGACTAACATAATATCCGGGATTGTATACTGATTGCATGCATGTATAAAAATACTAATGTCACCATCCCTTGTTTTTTTTAGATAAATTGCTTCAAAGTTGATCAATCAATACGCTTAGAACTTGACCGAAAACGTGTATCAGTGACTTTGTTGAATACAGAAAAGCATTATTCTTACT